GCCCCTGGTCAATATAAGATAGATTGTGGTTCATTGCCTTCTGACTTTTCCTATCTTGGAACTGCTTTCATTTTGGGATACAAAAGCTGGAAGAGCAAATCATTGATAGGCCACATCCATCCAACAGATTTCAGTGATAACACCAGGTGTCTATGTTCAAGGCATGAATAAATTCAATTTAATTGTGAATATAATTATAAATTATGTCATTTATCAGGAACAGGCCAGGATTCAGTTTCCAGTAATCTGGCAACTCAAACTCAGGATTTAGGCAGTTGAGTGGAAGAAGAAATCAACCTCATTTTTTTTTTACTTGGACCAGCCAGCCCATTGTTTTCCACCATAACTTCCTTGACCATCCTAACTAGATTTCACCCACTTTTCATTTCTTCTTCCCCAGCCCTTCTAAATGTCCTTCCTAACATCCATTTTTTGGGAACAGGACCATTACAAGAGCCTCTGCCTCCTTCTTCTCAACCTTTCTCAATCATTCCACAGATGGGCTGGAAAGCAAGCAAAACTACTCCAACTAGCCCACCAACTCCTATCTCTCACCCACCTCAAGTTTATATCCCATGAAACAAATATTTAATTACACTGCTGAACTTTCCAACAATTCTATGGTGACCTTCTCACACAGGGCTCTAAAGACCTCAATCTAGGATCAGCATTCTCTCATTCTAGAAAGAGCTCTCCCAGTCATTCCTTGCCTTTCAATCAGGCCAGCAAGTCCTGAAGTAGCCTTACTCAAGCACACATTCTCAGGGAACCCAATGTTAACTTATGGCATAAGCCTCATCCAGCTGTTCAAATTTGAGATAGGAACTGTCACAGATTCTCATCAATTGCTGGTAGTCCAGACTTAGCGGTTTGATCTTTTCTACCACATTTGCTTTTATGCAGCTCTTCAGAGGATAGAGTTCTTTGGGGAGGGGGGGGGTACCAACCACAGTCTCAGGTCTCTAGTTTGCTTCTGTATCAACCAGTCTTCAAATTTTCCCTTCTAATACCATTTCTCCTGATGGTAAATCCAATCTCATGTCTTTCTCTTTCTCCAGTCACTTCCTTCTGCCATGAAACTTAACCTACCCTTACTCTTTCTTCCTGCACAATTTCTCCACCTGTAATATGTAATCTTCTAAGACATGGTCTTTTTTGGAACTACTGATATTTTTGCCCTTTATTAAATAATGGGAATACAATATTTTTATTGAAAGATAGTAGAAAAAGGGTGGGCTGCCATTTGAGTGTGTTTGTCTTTAAGAACAAATGCAGAGATATATATGGCTGACAAAGTTTATAGTAGTAAATAAAGGCTCAATTGCCTAAAAAATGAAAGAAAATTAAATCTGTGGGAGGACAGTGCAATAGGTCTGCCTTGAAAAGGAACCTGTTGAGCACTGGATTCCTGCAGTTTTCTAGAAAGAAAAGATCAGGATGAACTTTAAGTAATGTAATTAGTACAGCAATGGTATGCAATTTACTATCACTGAACAATTTTTTGCAATCCCAGGTACACCTTTGTCTGTGGTTGTTGAAAATTATAACAAAATATCCTTCCACTTTGAAAGGAGAAAAACTTAAAATTGTAATGTATACCCTAAAACAGGCTTTTTTTAAAAAGGAAGTCCAGTCTTATTCCATAAACCCAATAAAATTTTATAGACTGCCTCCACTCTATCTGCATTAGTCACCCCACAAATATTAAGGACAATCAAAGTACACCGGAAGAGGCTACCTACCCAATACTTGTTTACAACAGAACCAATCAATAAATATATGTCCTCTGCTGACACCTTTTCCACAGTTCATATGGAGAACTAATAGAAGAAGGGTACCATGTCCTTAGATAAACATTTTAAATGCAATATAGCTGGATCTTGACCATTTTTTACGATGACCTCTGATTGCTGTGCAACAATTTTTTTCAAAAATTTTGCTTCCTGAAAAATTTTATGATCAAACTGAATTACTTATAATTTCAGAATGATAACATTTCATAGGAAACTTGAGAAAAATGAATTAACTTTTAGTGATTATAATGTATTTAATTAAATAAAGTTTCTAGCACATGTCAGAGTTCCAGAAAGTCCCCAACTCCAAGTAAAAACAGCAGGAGCTCAAGAGGGCTAAAAGTGTTTTGCTGCTGATTTTTGTGTGTACTCAATGTCTAATGCATTTCATTGCAGGGTACAACAAGAGCCTGTCAACACTGATGGATTCCAGTTTCCATGACACCATTTTCCCACTGTGGCAATGTCCTGGTGAAAACTTTCACCACGAATAATATGAATAATAAAAAATAAAATAAATGCTCATTGCTGGCTACATCTAGATTTTTGGTAAAGGAGGCTAAGTCTGAATGCAGAAAATGAATATTCAGTGACATATTGCACTTCAATGTCTTGTATGCTGTAAGAAGTTTGTCAATCAGCTGAATGTAGTTTGGTGCTCTGTAATTGCCGAGAAAATTCTCAAAGACATTCTTGAATGCTTTCCAGGCATTTTTTCTGGCCCCATTAACAGATCTTCAACCCATTTGTCATTGATGATGTATCTGATCTGTGGACCAAAAAAAATGCCTCCCTTAATTGTGGCATCAGTTATTCTTGGAAACATCTGTCTCAAATAACAAGAATCTTCCTTGTTCATCACCTTCACAACATTTTTTTTATCAATCCAAGTTTTATGTGAAGTAGAAGCAAAAATATCTTTCTTGGGTCAACAAGTGTTTCATGTCTCATGTTTTTCTGTCCTGGAACCAAATTCTTTTTTATATAATGCAACTCTTTTGCAAGGCTGTCTCATTCACATATACAGTCAGGTCCAGAAATATTGGGACATCGACACAATTCTAACATCTTTGGCTCTATACACCACCACAATGGAGTTGGAATGAAACAAATACAATGTGCATTAACTGCAGACTGTCAGCTTTAATTTGAGGGTATATACATCCAACTCAGATGAATGGTGTAGGACTTACAGCAGTTTGCATATGTGCCTCCCACTTGTTAAGGGACCAAAAGTAATGGGACAGAAAAATAATCATAAATCAAACTTTCCCTTCTTAATACTTGGTTGCAAATCCTTTGCAGTCAATCACAGCCTGAAGTCTGGAACGCATAGACATCACCAGGCACTGGGTTTCATCCCTGGTGATGCTCTGCCAGGCCTCTACTGCAACTGTCTTCAGTTCCTGCTTGTTCTTGGGGCATTTGCCCTTCAGTTTTGTCTTCAGCAAGTGAAATACATGCTCAATGGTATTGAGGTCAGGTGATTGACTTGGCTATTGCATAACATTCCACTTCTGTCCCTTCAAAAACTCTTTGGTTGCTTTTGCAGTATGCTTTGGGTCATTGTCCATCTGCACTGTGAAGTGCCCTCCAATGAGTTCTGCAGCATTTGGCTGAATGTGAGCAGATAATATTGCCCGAAACACTTCAGAACTCATCCTGCTGCTTTTGTCAGCAGTCACATCATCAATAAATACAAGAGAACCAGTTCCATTGGCAGCCATACATGCCCACGCCATGACACTACCACCACCATGCTTCACTGATGAGGTGGTATGCTTAGGATCATGAGCAATTCCTTTCCTTCTCCATACTCTTCTCTTCCCATCACTCTGGTACAACTTGATCTTGGTCTCATCTGTCCATAGGATCTTGTTCCAGAACTGTGAAGGCTTTGTTAGATGTTGTTTGGCAAACTATAATCTGGCCTTCCTGTTTTTGAAGCTCACCAATGGTTTACATCTTGTGGTGAACCCTCTGTATTCATTCTGGTGAAGTCTTCTCTTGATTGTTGACTTTGACACACATACACCTACCTCCTGGACAGTTCTTGATCTGGCCAACTGTTGTGAAGGGTGTTTTCTTCACCAGAGAAAGAATTCTTCGGTCATCCACCACACTTGTTTTCCATGGTCTCCCAGGTCTTTTGGTGTTGCTGAGCTCACCGGTGGATTCCTTCTTTTTGAGAATGTTTCAAACAGTTGTTTTGGTCACACCTAATGTTCTTGCTATCTCTCTGATGGGTTTGTTTTGTTTCTTCAGCCTAATGATGGCTTGCTTCACTGATAGTGACAGCTCTTTGGATCTCATCTTGAGAGTTGACAGCAACAAATTCCAAATGCAAATAGCACACTTGAAATGAACTCTGGGCCTTTTATCTGTACATTGTAATTGGGGTAATGAGGGAATATCACACACCTGGCCATGGAACAGCTGAGAAGCCAATTGTCCCATTACTTTTGGTCCCTTAACAAGTGGGAGGCACATATGCAAACTGCTGTAAGTCCTACACCGTTCACCTGAGTTGGATGTATATACCCTCAAATTAAAGCTGACAGTCTGCAGTTAATGCACATTGTATTTGTTTCATTCCAACTCCATTGTGGTGGTGTATAGAGCCAAAGATGTTAGAATTGTGTCGATGTCCCAATATTTCTGGACCTGACTGTATAACAACAGTGCTGGATATATCTGAGCTGCATTCCAAGCAATAGAGCCACACTACTTTTAGATCTCCACAGATATTGGATGATTAATGTACTGGATGTACTTCAACAACAGCTCCATGTTTTAATATGTTTCTTTTATATATGCAGCCTATTGCCAAAAGGTACTGAAAGTGTACATTGCCACTTGTAAAAACAAATTTCTATAAAATGGTGGTATGTGATAGGCTAAATCTGAGTTTATGTTCATATTTAATAGCCCAAAATCTGTAAGATATATCCAAAAGTGTTCCGGAAGCAAAATTTTGTTGTACACTGTAATAGCTTTGCATAAGAGACATACTATTTTCTTTCAGCAGTCAGTGAAACTTTTAACAGAAGCATATCAAATATTTCTGCTGTAGAGATAAACTACAGTATTTCTATAGATCTTATTTTGCTGAAATTGTTGTCATGGTTTCTTTCAGGGGTAGTCTTTTTGTAGCTGATAAACTGAGCTATTCAGTTTTCTGAAATCCACAACTGAAGCTACACTTACCGGCATAATGCACTGGAATTTCTATCTTCGGCCCTATGACGTAATGGCCCTCCTCTAGACTATGAGCTGTAATAGTTGTCCACTGTCGGCATGAATGAATCAATAGGTAATCACTCTCTCGAAGACCATCTATAGGTTCTCCTACAAAAAGAGATTAAAGTTTAAGTCATATTTGATTAATGATGAAAGTAAATTAATCTTAAACTATAATCCTTTAGGTTGTATACTGTAGAAACTAAAATTTGAGCTCACAGTTTTATCTAATCTAATCTAATCTAATCTCTGCAATAGATTTATTACAAGGCCATTTCCTGTCAACTCTGCCCTGCAATCTACAATATTAGGCAAAGCTGAATACTCTTTGAGCTGTTATAATGATTACGGAATTTACAAGAAATGCTTTATACACAAATTCACTGCTATGCATTATTACAACTAAATTGCTACTTTGCAAATTAGATATATCTACAGTTGCTAAAAATCAGAAACATGATTTTCTTCCTATTGAGGAAATTGTACAACTGTAGTAGAATCTCTAAACTAGATTTGAAATTTAAAATCTAAACTAGACTTAAAACTAGTGTTAAAATAACTCAAAAAATGAAGCAAACCCTCAAATCCTCACAAAATATTGATGGAAAGGAACAATAACAGGGCCTATGCCCCTATTCTTTCCCCAAAATATTAAATAAACCCCAGCCCACAAAAAGATGCTATCTGTATATGATTGGGTGGATAAGTACCTTTCACCTCAATCCAACCATCTCACTAAGTCTTTTGGAAATAGAATTAGGAAAAATCCACACTGAGCTTTCAGAGGAATGATGGGACATTAATGAATGTCACAACAGCAGTCAGATTAGCATACTTTATGTACGTCTTCAGTTTCTATTGAAATCCCTCAACTTTACGTCTCACTCCCCACCCTGCCCCTAGCAAAGAAGAGGATGCAAAGCAGGACCAAGGATACATTGAGCCAAGGTAAATTCTAACAATCCTTCTGTCACTATACAGTGTATTGTACTAAGTAACCATTTTTATGAAAGTGTAGATTGTGACATAATTTTTTTTAGTAAATCAGGGTCCTTTTTCCCAGAAAAATTTCTGTGTGAAAAAATATACTATATTTCACCAACTCGGGAAACTACAAAGAACCATGAAAGCCTTCTCCTTTTAAGTACTGCAGTTCAAAGAAAGCCTTAATTGTTACATCATGTTTTTCATACATATTGAAATATAAATATTAAAGATCAATATTAAATATAATCTATAAAAGGGGACTTTAAAATACACTGTGAATCAGCTAGCAGAACCTAGTTTCATTTGGAAAATAGCATTATTTTGTATCCAATTTGGTCCTATACAAACCAATTAGTTAATTTAATGTGACTTAAATTAGACTTATGGGCTTATGAAACTAATAATACAGAGTCATCCCCATATCATCAGAAGCAAACGTACTTATCAGAGTTCCCAACCTCCCGAACATTTTCATAGAAATTTACCAATATATACCTATTTGTAAAGGTACAAATATATACCTCTTTTAGGTATATATTTACATTATCCATTTTCATCCATGAAAATTCATTGCTATTCTTCTTAAAGATCCTTCAAAACTAAAATGGTTTCAATCATATTTACATTTAATTTTAGAGAAAATTATATTTTCCTATTCTTTCCCAACTTAAAAATTATACATCACAAATTCCTGTTTTGTGATTCAGGCAGATAATTTTTGGTTGTGCAACCAAACACCGTGGTTGTTTGGTTGCACAACCACGGTGTTACTGATATAGTCCAATATAATTCAGCTGTTTCCCCATCTGTTTTGTAATCCATTTTATGTGGGAACCAGGTCACTGAAGACTATGATCATGGCAAACCTATTTGTATCTCCTTCCTATTCACTGTTGTTGGGTGGCAAAATTATAATGTGTGGTTTCAAGTTGATTACCTGCCTACATATAATATTTTCACTCTTCCTGGTAAAGAGAAATTCACAAATTATTGTAAGTCTATACTTTGTTATACAGTATTTCTATCATTCTCTTACTTTCCTTTTTTGAAAGAAAAATCATATCACTCTGAACCAGAAGATTCATCAAGCTGATGCTTCATCAAGGAGGTTCTACTCAGCTAGAATGTATTCTGTTGAGATAAAAGGAATTCTATCTGGTACAGATAGAAGATCTGAATTACACCCCCACCAATAAGGAGCACCAGTATCAAAGGGTGAAACCTAGGCAGTCCACCCCATCTAAAAGTCAGGAGGAGAAGTCTTCTTGAAAGAAAAGAGCCAAACCTCTGCTATTGGTTGGGATGCATTCATACACATAAACCTTGCTGGGATTTAAGAGGTCAGGCTATAAAACTCTTTAAGTCAGGCTTGCGGGCTGCTAAAATATATACCTGAAACTAACTCTTCAATCTTTTAATCTCATAACCTTTCTGTTTTGACCATGCTCATATCATGATAAATCTTGATCTTAACTTCTCCGAAGAATCTAGGTCTTTGTTGAAGTGTTTGTGAAGGAAGGGAGTTGTTCATTATGATTCATCCACAAATTGCAAACAAAGTATACAGTTTAGTAGCTATAGCAAGATTCTGCGTGTTTACAATTAGGATTCACATGTATAGCTGAGTTTTCTATCAAGGGCAGTTTCTCATGTCATCAATTCCACAAATATAATAACTTTTCCAAATTAGTAAGCGGAGGGAGCATTTGAAGATTTTTTTCCCTCAATATTTTATAAGACAAAGTATTTGTCTTAACAGCAGTAAGAAAATACGTCTACAAATATTTGAAATTTGGTGTAGATAGATGTGACCAAAAAGAAACCGTTTGAAAATATTCCGTTTTTAGGTGATGAGACAAACAGATGAAAGGCAAATGATGTTCTTTGGATTATTTGTGTAAAAATTCAAAGATAAGCTCAATTAAACTCTTAAAAATAAAAGTAGAAATATTTTGCAAACAATTAAATTATTATTTGAGGGCCTGTTCAGTATGGCATTCTATATAATTACAGGTTTGGAAAAGATTTGATTTTTCATATATGCTTGACTAAGCACAAATTCTGTAAGAAGTACTACTGGACTACTATCTTTAAAATGATTTTTTAAAAATGCTGGCAGCTGCCTCTTGTACCATTTCATAGCTTTCTCTAGCAAGAAATGGCAACAGGTAAGTTATTGTTCTTCATTGATCAAGAAGGCATCTATTGCATCCCCCTTCTAAACAAAAAACTAAGCATGTTTTCATAGAAGAAATTTGAAGAGGACATGGTGGAAGGAAGAGAACTGATTCAGTTTATAGCATTCACTAATGCCAATTAAATGCAGCCAAATCCTTCCTTCCTTCCTTCCTTCCTTCCTTCCTTCCTTCCTTCCTTCCTTCCTGTGCCTATCCTAGTGAAACACATAGCAAATACTTCTACTTATTTTATTCATCATCATAACATAATTTCTTTTCTGTCAGCATTTCTTTCAGTTTCTTGTCTCTACATATGCTCCTTTGCCTGATTCTCTGCTTGTGGTTCCACAGCCACCATCAACTTTTAGAGCATTTCTTTTCTGACAGAAATCATGGAGTTTATCCTAAATTAATTTTTAAACAAATCATTAAATCTCAATTACACAAAATAATTGTGTGTCCATTATATCAACGAGCAACCAGCTCATAAACATAAACATAAACATCATAAACATCAAGCACTGTAGATCTGGGATAACTATCATCCTATCTTTTTTGATACTACCTAAGGGTGATAAATCCATACTTCTATAGTGATAAATTCCACATTTTTGGTGTGTACAGATGGTCCTCATTTAACAACCATTCATTCAGCAAACATTCAAAGTTACAACAGTGCTGAAGTAGTGATACTTACAACTGGTCCTTGAAGTTCCAGCTATGTCACCACCCACATAGCTATTTTATTGTGATATGAGCCCTTGGCAACCAGCTCACATTTATGATGGTTGATGCATCCTGGAGTCACATGATTTCCTCTTGAAACTTTCCCTGATAGCTTCCCACAAGCAAAGTCAATGGGGAGCCAGCAGGAAAGGCTGCAATTTGCTTTGGTAAGTCACTTACCCCCTCACCTCCCCCACCCCACTTGGCAACAATTATACCTGACCATGCTGCACTCCTGCTGTGCCTTGCAGGCCACCCATGTTCTTACCTTACCTGCCAGCTTGTGAGACACCTGGGAGTGATATAATGACTTGCAATCCTCACTTAAGAACATCAATAAGGAGTACTGGATTGTTGTCCCTAAGCAATGCAGTCACATGAGGTTGCACTGTATGACCACATTGCTTATCAACAGAAATTCCAGTCTCAATTACCGTAGTTAAATGACAACTACTATAATAGTACCTTTTACTATGTAAATAGTGCCTTTACATTCTTAAACCGTAATGATCTTGTAATACCTTTTAACAGTTTTACCAACAGATAACATTTTAGCATGTTGTGCAATTACAGTGGGGGGAAAAAGATGGAAAGACTATGGCAAAGTTAGTTTCTAATGCAAGTTAGTCTGATCCCAGGTGCTGTTACCTACTTATAAGCTGTTTTAAGTGCACCCACTTAGCCAAGCATATTTTTGCTAAGTGGGTGTATTTAAAAATCTACCTACTACTCATCAATACTATAGGATTACAATTGCCATGATTACAGCCAGCAGGATATTTGGAAAGGGATGATAAGTCTTCTCTTACTATAATACTCCAACCAGCCACCCTCCAGACATGTCCAAAATTGCTTTAAGACAGTTTAGGAAAATTGATGGGATTCCTAAATATGGAGAAGTCTCTTCTTTTGGACATAGCAAATTAGGAACAATATCAGTTTTACTCCTACATATCCGAAATGCTAGGTTTAAAACTTATAGGTTGTGAGAATCATAGGAGCAGCATAAACCTAAAGTTTTTGTTTGCATTTTATTGGATAATACTTCATTATGCTTTAGGGGACTATAGAACAGACAGGCAAAAGTTTAACAAAGCCTCTGATTTGCAGAAGAACCTTCAGTTTAAGTTGAGATAATCTGTTATTTCCAATTTTCATTTGATCAATCAGGGTAACCGTGTTCCCGGATTTCTGGCTGAGATAGCTGAAGTCAGGCAA